TAATTATGATAAATATTTATACTAAAAATAAAATAAAATATTTTATATAATTAAAATATTTTAATATTTTTAAAATATGAATATTTATAAATATAAATTTCTTACTACCTATATCTCTGCTCTCAACTCCATTATTAAATAGACATTCATTTAATTATTATTATAGAAATTGAGAAACTTTGTCCATCTAATAGTTAAATTCAGACAAATATTAGAAATAACAGATAATTATTCAAAGTTTTTTTTACATAAAAAAAATATAATGTCACTAAAAAGTAAAAATCAAAAAATAATTACCAAAATATATTTTTTTCTAATATGTATAAATTATTTATTTAAAATTTATATCAATTTTCATCTACAAATATTCAAAGATAAGTATTCTTTTGAAATTCAATGATCAGTACAAAAGTTTTTACATTCAATAAAAGCTATTAATATAATTTTTAAGATAGTTATATCAAGAGCCAATACACTTACCATAAATAGTGAGATGAGATTACATAAGAGTATGGACAGCGCATGATCTTTTTTCTCATTCTTGTGTCATCTCTAAGCATGACTAACGATGTTCTTGAGGATTAATTATAATATAAATATGTAAACAAAAATTGAAAATAACAAGTTAACCGATCATTTGACTTTGAACTGGAAAACAATCCAAAACTTTCATTTATAAATCGTAGTTGGGGGGTAATAATTAAACTGCAAGAAAATGGCGTCACCGCGATTCTCGAACAGTTGAACTTATCCTAAAGTGGGCAGACCAGGGGGAAGGGAGAGAAAGAGACTAGCATACCAAGGCAAAGCAACTCCAAGTGTGTGGTTCAGCGGTAGGGGTTGATTCACGCTTACTTAAGGTCAGGGGTTCGAATCCTGCCTGCTGTATGCAGTCCCACCCTTTGAGGTGCCTCCCACGTAGCGAGGACGAGGGTTTTCAGAATCTCAACCTTAAAAACAACAAGTACTTTCCTTCCCACCGTTAAGATCCAATGCTGCCAAAACTCCTAAGATTCGACACCCAACCTCAACCCTTCGATTTGTCGTTAGTTGGTCAAATCATACCATGGACCCCACCAAGAATACGATTCCATATCATATGAATGAAAAAAACGAACGTTCTTCTTCCACAATTATCCTCTCTCTTCCCCACCATCCATCTGCCCTTTGAGTCATACCAAAGCCACTTGGATTCCATAAAAAAATTTAAAATATTTTTTTTTACTTCCTTTTTATTTTTCCTCTTTTTTATATGAAGAGTTCTGAATTGGGTGCCTAATATTTTCGGTTTTCCGTATTTATCTTTGGAAGCTTGTGGGTTATTATGTATTTATGTGATACCTGGGCGCACTCTGCTCTCATGTTCTATATGTGAAGTGGGTGCTTCTTGTCTTTTTGTTTTAGCTTCTGGGGTTTGTGGTTGGTCTTGGAGATTGGTTTTGTGAACTTGGATACAATGGGTTCTGGTACCAATTTGGTGACTACTATAATTGGGTTTGGGTTGAGTGCAACTTTCATTGTGTTTGTTTGCACCAGAATAATTTGTGGAAGACTACGAGAGCGTGTGGGATCAAGGACTATATATGAAATTGAAACAAGAAGTGATATAGAACGGGTAATTTCAGCTGTGACTTGCACTTCTTTGTGTGTGTTGATTTTGCTAGTTAACATGATTAGAGGTAGGTAATGAATCAATATGTTAAGCTCTTGGTGGGTCATCAAGTTATGGTTTCTTAATTGTTGTACTATATTTGATGAATAATGATAGCTGCAACTTTATGTTAAGTCAATATATACTGTGTCATTCAGTTTTGTAGAAGAGATTATGTGATGAAAATTTTCAATCAGATGGAGAAATGGGTGCTCTTATATTGATTAGCATGTGTAATTGCTTCATGTTGGTGTTCTGTTCCCTTTGGGTGCTTCAGATTTTAATTTTTGCATTGTTTACTTGATAGGCAGAATATCACGGTAATGACCCTGAACCTGCTTTTGTTGCTGCAATCCCCACTTTGAATTTCAACCAAGAAGCCTTCAGTAACTTTGAAAGTACACAGTTAAGTCTAGTTTGTAGTCTCTAGCGATTCTCTAATTTCAAGGTCATAGACAATGTTCTTTTTTTACTTTATAAAAAGTTATTTAAAAGAGGCATTTTCTAAGTAGGAGTCAAGTCAATATGTTGATATATTATTCCGTTTGCTTTTACAGGTGTGTGATATGTTTGGCAGAGTACAAAGAAAAAGAACTATTGCGTATCATACCAAAATGTGGCCACAGTTTTCACCTTTCTTGCATTGATATGTGGCTGAGAAAACAATCCACGTGTCCAGTGTGCCGTTTGTCACTACAGAATGCTAATGAAGCAAAACATGTGAGACATGTACCATTTACTATTAGGCAATCTCTTGATGAGTCCCACTCCAATACTTCTTCAGAAAGGATCACAGATAATGAGATGGAAGTTGAACATAATGCTAGTAACTCCCCACAATCAACTTTGGAAGAACCAGACACCAGACACTGATGTTGTAGTGTGTGCCTAATCTGTGTATGTAAAGGAACATTGCTACTACCTCCCTAGAACATTGCTACTAACACTACACTTTTTGATATATTTATTATGTGAATTTTAGTTGACTCTCACCGAATGATGCTGGATTATTTTATATTTAGTAAGACACGTATAAAATTTACTCAGATAATAAGAAGGGTTAGACTAGTGTGTTTTTATTGGTATTTAGATGCTTTTGAATAGATTGAAATGAAATTGTATGTTCGTTTTATGGCATTTCTATCTACTAGTGTAAAAGAAGGCTTTCAAAAGTTAAATAACAGTTTCTAACTCTATACAAGTTAAACAAGTTGAAAATGTAGAATTTGTCTTGATACGATTAAAGTAACTGATTCTCATAGTAAGTAATGAAAAATTAACTGAAGAACAACATAATTTTGTTATTATTAATAAATAGACCTATACCGTATGGAGGCCGACTGGGCCGAACACCAGAATGCAAAAATCGGGTCGAACAATCCGAACCCGTAAGTAATCAGGCCGACCACCAGCACTGTAACACATCTAGTCCGAATACCCGAGTCTGTCGACCACACGTGAACAGATAAAACTCATCGGTGTGGTCGGCCAAGCCCAGCGCTTCTGTCAGGCTAATTATGGAGATTAATTAACATAACACATCAGATTAGCTTCCTAATTTTCCGGGGCCCAATTCTTAATCACGGCCCAATACGAGTACCTATAAATAGAGTTCTAGCGAGGTATATAACTAATTTTTACCTACCGCATTTATTACGCCGAGCACTTACTTGAGCGTTGGAGTGTCTTTGCAGGCACAGCCCCCCTCACATCGGACTAATCGGATAGAAACGAGAAGACCGAGACCTAAGATCCGACCCGCTACAACAAGGATAATCGAAGTGTGTTTCCTAACACAGGAACATTTGGCGCCCACAGTGGGGCCGAAGAGATACTTTAGCCCTATTTCAACTCTACCAACTGAGATCGAGACATGGTAGTGACCCGCAAAGGACAATCAGCAACGACCCAACCGATTCCCGACGTTAACGCCGAAGACAATCCCGTCATGACCAACCAAGAGCGCTACCCGTACGGAATGCCTCGAACTCAACCGGAACCCGTGATTCAACAGGTCCAGCCAAACACTGACCGAACTCAACCCAATTTGCATGATGACCTCCGTGCGTTGAGGGAGGAAATGGAGACCATCCGAAGGCAAAGAGAAGCCGATGCCCGAGAACTAGCCGAGTTACGTCAACAAAATGCCGAGCTTCGGATTCTGAACCAAACTTTCGTGCCGTCCACCCCCACAGCAGCGGAGGAGTCCGCCTATCACGCCCCAACCGACCAGGTCACTCGAACTCCGGTCACCTCGTTGATAGCCAACAAGGCCGACACCACCGTCCACTCCTTAAGACATCCTTTCTCACGGAGGATAATGGAAGCGATTCTTTTGGATCATTGGAAGAATCTCCCAATTGAGAAGTACGACGGGACCACTGATCCCGACGAACACCTGAACGTTTTTTTGACGCAGGCGACCCTCTCCACACAAGACGACTCGGCTTTGTGTCGAATATTCCCCATATCATTGAAGGGAAGGGCCCTGAGTTGGTTCACCAGGTTGCCGAGTTCTTCCATCGACTCGTTTGGCGAGTTGTCATCCCAGTTCACTTTACAATTCGCGACGAGCAAGCCGTATAGGACGACCTCGTTGGCTCTAGCGGGGATTCGTCAGGAGAAAAAAGAAATTTTAAGATGCTTTATGGACCGATTCAACAAGATTGCCATGGAGATAGGCGATCTTAACCCGGCCGTCGCCCTAGACAGGCTGAGCACTGCCCTGAAACCGGGGCCTTTCGTGAATAGCCTCTGTAAGAAACCACCACTCGATATGAATGATTTGCGTCGCCGAGCCGAGAAGTATATGCAGATGGAGGAGCTTGCGGAAACCCGAAATCAGGCCAGAGCCGAGGAGGGTAATAGCAGGAAGGAGCCGAGCCAAGAACTGATGAAAAAGGCTAACGCCGAACCTTCAAACGCCCGGCCCCCGAGGGGACCATGATACATGGCGTACACTCCCCTCAATTCGAGCAGGGCTAAGGTGTTGGAGCAAGCCCTCGCATCAGAAATCCTGGTGATGCCGAAAAGGGCAAACACGCCCCCGAGAGCCGACAAGGCAAAAACGTGCCGATTCCACCTAAACAGGGGACACACAACAGAAGAATGCTCGGCACTAAAGGATAAACTTGAAGACCTTATCAAGCAAGGTCATCTGCGGAGCTTTGTCTCACCCCAAGACCACCGGTCAAGGGGGAGAGACCACTATCCTCGACGAGCGTCACCATCGAGAGATCGAGGCCACCGATCTCGATCAACAGAAAGGAAAGACCACTCGAGAAGTTCCCGAGAAGACAACGACCGGCCGAGAAAGATAATAAACACAATAGCCGGGGGCTTTGCCGGAGGAGGTTCCACATCCTCTGCTCGGAAAAGACATCTCCGAGCAGTACGATCAGTGAACAGCGTGAATCAGATGAGAACGCCGAAGATGCCGCCTATTACTTTCTCGGACCGGGACTTTCGCGGCGTGGACCTCGTCCAAGACGACCCCATGGTGATTTCCGTCGAGATACACAATTGCATCGTGAAGAAAACTTTGTTCGACCAGGGGAGCTCCGCCGACATCTTGTACTGGAACACTTTTGTACAACTGGGGATCCCTGAGGAGAGCCTAGAACCATATCACGAACCACTGGTAGGATTCTCAAGCGAGAGAGTCATGACGAGAGGATGCATCGACTTGTACACTCGCTTCGGTTGCGACAAACAATTTTCCCGAGAAATAAAAGTTCGTTACGTCGTCGTGCATGCAAGCACGTCGTACAATGTCCTGCTCGGCCGACCCTCCATCAACGCACTACAGGCCATTGTGTTGACTCCTCACCTGTGCATGAAGTTCCCATCAAGAGACGGACAGGTAATAACCGTTCACGCCGACCAGAAGACGGCAAGAGAGTGTTACATGTCCAGCTTAAAGGTCCAACCCATCGTCGAGGCCCCGAGGACGGTGAAGGGCGTGAACGTCATAAGGCAGCAAATAGCGGAAGATCTTGACCTTGACCCCCGACTGGGTGAGGAAGAGCAAATCGAGCCGGCCGAAGACCTCGTCCCTTTTCAACTTGGCCGAACACCCGAACAGGTCACCCATATCGGGTCTCAGCTGAGTAGAGACGAGTCGGATCAGGTGCAACAAACGATCCAAGACCATAAGGACTTGTTCGCATGGACAGCGTCAGACATGCCGGGCATAGATCCAAACTTCTTGTGCCACCGACTGGCCGTGTGCCGAGACGCCCGACCAGTTGCCTAAAAGAAGAGGAAGATGGGAGACGAGAAGAGAAAGGCCGCGAACGCCGAGGTCCACAAACTATTGCAGGCGAGGTTCATCCGAGAGGTCCCCTACACCACCTGGTTAGCCAATGTAGTATTGGTCAAAAAGGCGAATGGCAAGTGGAGAATGTGCACCGACTACTCCAACCTCAATAAAGCCTGCCCGAAGGATGCTTACCCACTCCCTTGTATTGACCGGCTCGTCGATGGCGCGTCTGGGCACGGTGTGTTTAGTTTCTTGGACGCTTACTCCGGCTACAACCAAATAAAGATGCACCCTACCGATGAAGAAAAAACGGCATTTATCACCGAGAACGCTAATTTTTGTTACCGAGTCATGCCGTTCGGACTAAAAAATGTCGGGGCGACATACCAAAGGCTGATGGACAAGGTGTTTCAAGGTCAAATCGGCCGAAACATCGAGATTTATGTTGACGACATGGTGGTCAAGTCTGGCTCCCTAACCGATCACATGGCCGACCTAGCAGAGATCTTCGGCGAACTACGCAAGCACAATATGAGACTGAATCCCGAGAAGTGCACCTTCGGGGTCAGGGGAGGCAAGTTTCTGGGGTTTATGCTTTCGGTAAGAGGGATAGAAGCAAATCGAGACAAGTGTCAGGCAGTGCTAGAGATGAGGAGCCCGAGTAATCTCAAGGAACTGCAGCGTCTTTCGGGAAGATTGGTTGCCTTATCCCGATTCCTCCCACGTCTAGGTGACAAAATCAGTCCGATGACGAAACTCCTGCGGAAGGCCTCGACTTTCTCATGGAATGAGTCATGCGAAGCCGCCTTCGCGGTATTGAAAGCAGCCTTGGCGACGCCGCCGATACTAACGAGACCGGACCCTTTGAACCCGCTATCGGTATACTTAGCTGTATCCGACGAGGCAATCAGCTCGGTCATAGTACAAGAAAAGGGGGGCACCCAAGCTCCAATATACTTTGTCAGCCGACTCTTACAGGATTCCGAGACTCGGTACCAGCTGATAGAGAAGGTCGTACTCGGATTGGTACACACCTCCCGACGCTTACGCCACTACTTTCAAAGTCACCCAGTAGTAGTACATACCGACTGCCCTATCTCCAAGGTTTTGAGGAAGCCCAAACTTGCCAGGAGAATGATGGCCTGGTCGGTGGAGCTCTCACAATTTGACATCACCTACAGGCCGAGAGGGCCGATCAAAGCCCAATGCCTGGTGGACTTCGTCAACGAGCTACACCCACACAGCTACTTTGAGGAGCAATGGTGGATCCTACATGTAGACGGTTCCTCAAACCGCTAGGGGAGTGGGGCGGGGGTGATCTTAGAAGGACCGAGGGGGATAACCCTGGAACAGTCATTACGCTTCGGATTCAAAGCCTCCAACAAGCAAGCCGAATATGAGGCTCTACTCGCCGGCCTAAGACTAACCGAAGACATGGGAGCTTCGAGGATCAAATGCCTGACTGATTCCAAAGTGGTGGCCGAACAAGTCGGTGGGAGCTTTCAAGTGAAAGACCACAACATGATTAGATACTACCACGCCTATCAAAAGTTAAAGACAAAATTCCAAGAGATGGTGGTCAAGCACATTCCACGCAAAAACAACGCATGAGCCGACCAATTGGCCAGATTGACAGCAACCAAAAAGCCGGGCCAACTGAGAACAATTATCCAACAAGAAATCAGTCACCCGAGTGTGGATGAGGAAATAATAGCAACTGTTGACACCGACCAGAATGACCATAATAACCCCTCCGACTGGAGGGATAAAATCAAGGCCTTCATCAACGATTGCGCGCTTCCGGCCGATCCCACCGAAGCCAAGAGAATAAGAACACAGGCCAGCCGGTACGTCATCATCACGGGTCTGTTGTATAGGCGCGGCATTTCCACCCCCCTATTCAAGTGTTTAGCTCCGACCGAAGCCCAATACGTGATACGAGAAGTCCACGAGGGGATTTGTGGAACTCACTCGGGAGCAAGAACGACCGTCGCAAAGATAATGCGAGCCGGATACTACTGGCCGACCATGAACACCAATTGCGACACATTTGTGAAGAAGTGTCAACCATGTCAGAAACACGGCAACCTGATCCACCAACCGGCCGAGCAATTACATTGCATTCCTCCTGCATGGCCGTTCACCACGTGGGGGGCCGATATACTCGGACCTTTCCCGACTGCTAAAGGGCAGTGCAAGTTCCTTGTCGTGGCTGTGGCCCTCTCCACCAAATGGATCGAAGCCGAGCCCCTAGCATGTATCTCGGCCCATCAGGTGCAAAAATTCCTATGGAAGAATGTCATCACCCGGTTCGGCGTCTCGCACACTCTTTTGACCGACAACGGCCTACAGTTCACTGACCGAAAGCTAAACGAGTTCCTAGCCAGCTTAGGAGTACAACACAAGGTTACATCAGTCGAGCACCCACAGACGAACGGTCAAGCCGAGTTGGCTAACAAGGTCATCCTTGCATAATTGAAAAAACGGCTAGGGGAAGCAAAGGGAGCATGGGCCGAGCAGTTACCCGAGGTGTTATGGGCCTACCGGTGCACCCCCCAGTCGACCACCCATGAAACACCTTTTCGTCTAGTCTACGGATCCAACGCGATGATCCCAGTGGAAATCAGAGAGCCATCATTCCACCGACTCCACTTCAACGAGGCAGGTAATGAAGCCGAGCTACGAACAAACCTGGACGGGATAGAAGAAATCCGTGACCGAGCATTGTCAAAAGCCGAGGCCACCAAACAACGGTACAAGAGAAGATTTGACAGCAAGGTGAAGCCTAGGGAATTCCAAGAAGGAGATCTCATTTGGAGAGTTACGGGCGAGGCAAGAAAGAATCCGAGACAAGGAAAACTCGCCCCAAACTGGGACGGACCTTACCGTGTTCGGCATAACCTGAACAATGGGGCATACAAGCTGGAGTACTTATCAGGAGAACCAATTCTGAGAACTTGGAACTCCTCGCATTTAAAAGTGTATTACAGTTGATGTACTAGTGCACTCTTTTCCTTGACCGACTCTTTTTTCCCTAAGGAGGGTTTTGGGTCGGTAAGGTTTTTAACGAGGCACTTTATTAATAAAGAATAATTTTATCACTTAAGTCTTATTTTTTCATGATTAGGTCGCGCATAGACCGAGTGATGAGCAATAACACGCGCTTAAAACAAGCAGTCTCGGCCGACCACTCCGACATGTACCAAGCCTATCAGGTTTCCCTCCCGAGTAACCTCCTCGGCTAAGGATGCACCTAGGCCGAGTACAATGCATAACGCGCTTAAAACAAGCAGTCTCGGCCGACCACTCCGACATGTACCAAGCCTATCAGGTTTCCCTCCCGAGTAACCTCCTCGGCTAAGGATGCACCTAGGCCGAGTACAATGCATATCGCACACCGAACACGTGCTCGGCCGACCACTCCGACATGTACCGAGCCTATCAGGTTTCCCTCCCGAGTAACCTCCTCGGCTAAGGATGCACCTAGGCCGAGTACAATGCACAACGCGCACCGAACACGTACTCGGCCGACCACTCCAACATGTACTCAGCTTCTCAGTTTTCCTCCCGAGTAACCTCCTCGGCTAAGGATGAACACAAGCTGAGACCACGCATGAGCACGAAGCTGCCGAGCAGCTCCCAGCCGAACACCCCCTACGGCCAAGCAGGCGCCTAGGACGTCTCAT